AGATCGAGACCATCCTGGTCAAGAAGGTGAAACCCGTCTCTACTAAAAATACAAAAATTAGCTGGGCATGGTGGTGTGCACCTGTAGTCCCAGCTACTCGGGAGGCTGAGGCAGGAGAATTGCTTGAACCCAGGAGACGGAGGTTGCAGTGAGCTGAGATCGTGCCATTGCACTCCAGTCTGGGTAACAACAGCAAAACTGTGTCTCAAAAAAAACATGATAAGTACATTGAGTAAGGTTGAAGGATGGAATGACAATATACAAAAATGAATCATATTTATATGTACTAGCCATATACAATTGGAAGTGAAATATTTAAAAATCACTTATAATAGCATAAAAATATGATATAGTGATAAGTTTAATGAATCAAATACTGACCCTCTACACTAAAATCTACAAAGCACTTATAAAAAGAAGTTATTGATGATCAAAATAAAGAGAAAGATATAGTTTCCACAAATTGAAAGATAGTTTTCAATGTTGTTAAGATGTGATTTTTTCCTAAATTCATGTATAGATTTTATGTAATATAAATTAAAATCCCTTCAGGCTTCCTTATAGAAATTGAAACGATCATTCTAAAATGTTTAGGAAAATGCAAAGACCTCGCATAGTCAAAGCACTTTTGGAGAAGAATAAAATTGGTTGGATTATGCTACCTTATTTCAATATTAACTTTATAGCTACATTAATCAACACAGTATGGATTAGTATGAATATATTTAGATAAATTGATCGAAAAGGTAAATAAAATAGAGTAAAAAAATGTGGCTACAGATAAAAGATCAATTGTTTCTCAAAAAAAGTGTAAAAGTAACCAGATTGAAGGAAAGAACATTTCAACAAATCATGCTTCATAATATGGTTTGAACCTGTGTCCCTGCTCAAATCTCATGTTAAATTATAATCCTCAGTGTGGGAGGTAGGGCCTGGGGGGAGGTGATTGCATCATGGGGTGGTTTCTTTATCACCTTGGTGGTGTCGTGACAATGCTGAGTTTGTTCTTGTGAGATCTGGCGGTTTAAAAGTGTGTAGCACCTCCCTCCTCTCTTCCTCCTGCTCTGCCCATGTGACCTGCCTGCTTCCTCTTTACATTCCAGTGTGATCGTAAGTTTCCTGAGGCCTCCCCAGAAACAGAAGCCACTATGCTTTCTGCACAGCCTGCAGAATTGTGAGACAATTAATCCTTTTTCTTTATAAATTACCCAGCCTCAGGTATTTAATATTTATAGCATGTGAGAACTGACTAATACGCTTCACATGGAGGAACCTCGGCCCTTACATCATCCACAAAAGTTAACAGTAACAAATAACAGGTATAAATATTAATGCTAACTTTTAAATAACATGCAGAAAATTTAAACTTTTAATTAGACAATGATTTCTAAAGTAGACTACCAAAAGGCTGAATCTTAAAAGAAAAAAAAATGGATAAATTGCCTTTTATCTAAATTAAATTTGTCGTTTCTTTGAAAGATACTATCAAATGAAACAGCAAGGCCACAGACTGGGAGAAAATATTTACATTACATGTAACTGACGAAGGGTTTATATCCCGTATCTAAAGAACTCCAGCCAGGTGCAGTGGCTCATGCCTGTAATCCCAGCACTTTGGGTGGCCAAGGTGGGTGGATCATGAGGTCAGGAGTTCGAGACCAGTCTGGCCAATGCAGTGAAACCCCATCTCTACTAAAAATACAAAAAATCAGCCAGGCATGGTGACAGGCACCTGTAATCCTAGCCACTTGGGATGCTGAGGCAGGAGAATCACTTGAACACAGGAAGCAGAGGTTGCAGCGAGCTGAGATTGCACCACTGCATACCAGACTGGGTGACAGTGTGAGACTCCATCTCAAAAACAAAAACAAACAAAAAAAAACACTCTTACATCTCAATAAAAAAGACTGAGAATGCAACTAAAATGGGCAAAAATCTTGTATCTTCAAAAAGAAAATATGAGTGGCCAATATGTAAATGAAATATGCTTACTCAGATATCACCAGGCAAATCCAAATGTAAACCACGATGGGGTACCACTATACACCCACGAAGATGAACAGAGACGGTGTGGAGCAACTGCATTTCTCTTGCGTTGTGGGTGAGATGCAAAAGCCTCCAAGTACATTGGACTATTTTGGCAGTTCCTTATAAAACTAAACATACACTCACCACATGATTTAGCCATTTTACTCCTAGGTATTTGTCCAAGAGAAATGAAACCACATGTCCATATAAAGACCTGTCTATGAATCTTTATTCATAATCACTGAAATTAGAAAAGCCCATCAACAGGTGAATGGAATACTACTTGGCAATGTAAAGAGGCAAACGGTGGATCCGCAGCACCATGGATAGATCTCAGAAACGTTACACCCAGTGAAAGACGCCAGGAGTGCAATAACGTATCATCATTCTACTTACATGGAATGCCAAAGAACAGGCAAAAATGAAAGTAACAAGTATAATGACAGAAGGTGTGTAGGTCAGAGCTTGTCTGTGGGTCAAAGGGTTACAAGAGAACTTTAGGCACAATGAAAATGCACACTAGCTTATACGTGTCGAGACTCAGCTAACTATACCTGTAACATTTCATTTCACGCGCTATTCCTCAAGTTGCCTGAGCTATTATTTTTTTTGAAGAGCATCAAAATGTAGTGCCAGAAAACTTTGACACTGCTTAAAAAACAAGCTTTCTGTAAGAAAGAAGAGTGACTAAACAAAACAGTTTGGTAAAAGGCATTTGGGTCAACCAAAATGAGCAAATAAGAATAAGGTAACGTAGGCCGGGCGCGGTGGCTCACGCCTGTAATCGCAGCACTATGGGAGGGCGAGGCAGGTGGTTCACGAGGTCAAGAGATCGAGACCATCCTGGTCAACATGGTGAAACCCCATCTCTACTAAAAATTCAAAAAATTAGCTGGCCATGGTGGCGCGTGGCTGTAGTTCCAGCTACTCGGGAGGCTGAGGCAGGAGAATTGCCTGAACCCAGGAGGCGGAGGTTGCGGTGAGCCGAGATCGCGCCATTGCACTCCAGCCTGGGTCACAAGAGCGAAACTCCGTCTCAAAAACAAACAAACAAACAACAAAAAAAGAATAAGGTAATGTGATCGCCGGATACCTCCCGGCTATCTGCTTCCCTTCCTTCTGTTTACCTTGAGATACTCCAAATATTCTTCCAGCCCATTTAAAACCACCTTTCTATGAACAAAATGGCATTCAACTCCTTTTTCTTCTGCCGTGAAAAATTACCCTATGTGGGACTCCTGGAGCCTTTTTCTCTTCCAGTCTAAATTGAATGCAAGTAAGAACTGGATTCATATTTTTCTGCTGATGTGGTTAATACATAATTGCTGTCTAAGCAAGAGAGCACAGGGATGTGGGGTGTTCAGTGCATATCCACCCCTCCCAGGCGGCCGCCTGTGTTGGAGGGAGCTGAGCAAGGAGGAGGGGTGGCGGGCCGCATGTCTCTCCTTTGTCGCAGGTGTGGGTGCAAGCTGGGCAGCAGCTGTGATGAGTAGTGTGCAGGTGTGTAAGGGCCTTATAGTTCATGCGTCCTGATCACAACTGTGCAGTCTTTCTCCTTGATTTTGCCTTTAGAAAAAGACTGCATTTTAGGTGACACTTTTTTTTTTTTTTTTTTTGACAGAGTTTTGCTGTTGTTGCTTAGGCTGGAGTGCAATGGTGTGATTTTGGCTCACCACAACCTCTGCTTTCTGGGTTCAAGCGATTCTCCTGTCTTAGTCTCCAGAGTAGCAGGGATTACAGGCATGTGCTACCACGCCCAGCTAATTTTTTTGTATTTTTAGTAGAGACAGGGTTTTTCCATGTTTGTCAGGCTGGTCTCAAATTCCCAACCTCAAGTGGTCCACCTCTCTCGACCTCCCAAAGTGCTGCGATTACAGGTGTGAGCCACCACGCCTGGCTTTTAGGTGACACCACTAATGACTTGCTTATTAGTTCACAGCTCAGCCTAGGATCCCCAGAAAACGTATCCTGAGGTAAAATTTAGGTGATTATATGTTACTGGGGTATTTGATTCCAATGAAAACAGGAGCAAAGGAAAAGGGAATGGAGGCATGGAAAGACAGGGGGCAGGGAGAAGTGTTCATTAACAGGTGGGCCACCCACTGCCAAGTGTGAAGTAACTGATGGGTCCATCTCACAGGATCATCTTTGAGAGGCCAACAGCGACTGCATCTCAGGACATTTCTTAGGAGGCAATAAAGGGAGACTCTGGTTCACTGGATATCAGTCCATTAGCCAAAAGTCTGCCCCACAAATTTTTAACTTGCCTGAAATGTCATATTGCATATATGTGAGTATTGAGCAAATTCCGTGACATCTTAGACCTTACGGATATTCCATGTGGGCTTGTCCCCATGTAAAGCTGCTTAGAACTCTTGCAGAACTGGGTGCTGAGGCAGTAGCTGGGGTGATGAAGCCAAAAGCTCCAGAGATAGTTGAAGTCAAGAAGGTCTGGATAATAATGTTTGTAATGAGGTTTTCCAAGTCTTATAACATATAACTTGATAGTGAGGGGGATAATTCTTGCTGTGTTGTTGGTTTTATACAAACAACTTCTTTTCATTGTTGACTTTTTATAGCTACGATCCCCAGCAGGGCATTTCTCCAAAAGAGCTGCATGCAAATAGAAATAAACTGAACTACGAACGTGTGTGTGATACAACAGATGTAATTTTCCAGATAATTCCATTGTGCATTAACAGGACATTGAATGCAAAGCAGTGGTGAATAGACTTTTCCAGAAAATAATTAGGGAGCTATATTTAACTCTGAACCTTTCAGGTAGTGCGGTCACATTTTCTGTTCCAAAAATAAAATAGCTGGTTTTTAGAAAAGGCGGTGATATTTAAAATTAATGCACAGAAAGATACCAACGTGAGATTTAGGATCTAGATTTGGATATTTACTAACATAATGACGTCAAAGAAAAGCTTAAGCTTCATAGAAAAAAATGAGTCAATACAAGGAAGTAGTTATCTATTATTACCCATTCATTAAGTCCTAGAATAACCTGAAGAAGTCTACAGAACACAAAAACGAGCTTGATGTGTAGGTTTTGTTAGTTGGTTACAAGAAGGATTGTGTAACCTTCCTCCTCAATACTAGAAGTTCCAGGCACAGAGAAACTTTATTGGGGATCATTCACTAAAGAAACATATACGACCCCTGCTGGGGGGGGAGCGGCCCCTTAGGTGTGCGGTGATGGTCCAGAGGGCAGGTGCACCCGGTGTGAAGTGGTACACCAGGTTCCTCGTGCCAGTGCGCCAGTGTCTTCTAATGACCGCCGAAGGATAGAGGCCTGTCACTGGGAAGCAGGGCCCCGGCGTTATCTTAAGGACCATGGACAGCTCCGGGAGGTCCCAGAAAAGGCAGGTGTTTTACCGTCTCTGGAATGACAATCCAGTCTCTAAGTCCGACTGGGATTCCCGTTTGCAGATAATAAAACACACATATTCAAGCCTCTCTGAAGCATCCATTACATTTGTATCTATGTGAGCAGAAAGGGCTCAGTGCTCCCAAGAAATGTTCAGGAGCGAGGGTGAGAGGTGCAGTTGAAGGGGCACCTTGTTTTTTTTTTTTAAAAAAAAGGTCCAATCTTACAAAGGAAGAATCGGGCCGCCGCGCCAGGGGCTAGAGGACGGGTCTGGCGGGAAAGCCTGGGGGTGGGGGCAGGGGCGGGGATCCCCGCGTCGCCGTGTGATGCTCGGAGGCTGCGGGGAGGGCGCATCCCGGCAGATTAGGCCGGAGGAGCAGCGCCATGTGCTCCAGGCTCCTGGCGCTGCTGCTGCCCATCTGGCTGTCCTGGACCCTAGGGCCCCAAGGCTCCGAGCCCCGCAGGTGAGGCGGACGGGCGCCCCCCGCGCTCTGAGGCCCCGTCGGGAGGCGGCACTCAGTCCGCGGGCACAGGCGCGGGCGGCACCCGGGGGCTCTCGGGCTGCGCCGCGGCGAGTGGTGGTCGAGCGCTAGGCCGACGTCGGGGCTCGGGGGAGGCTGACAGCGTTTCCGTCGCCTCCTGTGTCCGCGCCGCGGCTGTCGACGGTCCCCACGCTCACCCGGCCGCGGGGAGCCCGGAGGAGCCGGCTTCGTGGCCGACCCACCGCCCCGCCCGGCTCCGCGCAGCCGCGGCTCCGCTCGCCGCGTCCAGCCCGGGCCGCCCCCGCACTCCGTGGTCCCCAAGCTCCGATCCTGTGCGGAGCCCGCCGAGGCGGGGGGGAGCGCCCAGGGCCCCGGCCTCAGGCCGCGGAGAGCGAGGGGGAGGGCAGGGTGCGCCGCGCGGCGGCTCCGCCTCCGGCTCCGGCCTCCTCCCCCGCGCACCCCGCGCCCGCGCGTGCTCCTCCCTCCTCCCTCCTCCCGCTCCTCCCCCTCCTCCCCTCCCCCTCCGCCCTCCTCCGCTCCGGGCCAGCGCGGCGGCGGCGGCGGCAGCAGCAGGAGCAGCCCCGGCTGCGGGTCGCGACGGCGGCGGGGCGCCCCCTCCCCCGTGCCGGGGCGCGGCGGAGGGATGTGGGGCCTTGCGGGAGGGAGGCTTTTTGGCATCTTCTCGGCCCCGGTGCTGGTGGCGGTGGTGTGCTGCGCGCAGAGGTAGAGGCGCGGGAGGGCCGGCGGGCGCGGGAGGGCGCGGGGTAGCGGGCGCGGGGGTGGCCGCGCCGCCCCTGACCCTGTTCTTGCGCCCCCCCGCCCTCCCGTAGCGTGAACGACCCCGGGAACATGTCCTTCGTGAAGGAGACGGTGGACAAGCTGCTGAAAGGCTACGACATCCGCCTGAGACCCGACTTCGGGGGTAAGTGGGCTGCGCGCGGCCGCTGCGGGAAGCGCGACCCACGGCGGTGGCGGCGGCCTGGGCGGGGGAGGCTGGGGCCGCAGCGCGGGTCGTGGCGGGTGGGGGCGGGGTGGGTGGGGTGGGGGTGGGGGCCCCTCGCCCGCGCCCCTCCCGCGAGAGCCCCCCGTGCTCGGAGCCGCCCGCGCCCCGCACCGGAGCTGGGCTGACGCCGTGTCGCGCTTCCCGCAGGTCCCCCGGTCTGCGTGGGGATGAACATCGACATCGCCAGCATCGACATGGTTTCCGAAGTCAACATGGTGAGTGCCCTCCCGGGGCGGTCCCCGAGCCCCCGGCCCGCGGTCTGGGATCACGGGCGTCCACGGGGCTGGGCCAGAGGCCTCTTCGTCCCGGCCGCTCTTCCCCGGCCCGCAGAGGGAGCCGCGCTCCTGGGCACCGGCCCTTTGCTCGCCGGGCGCCCTGCACCTGCCCGGGGCGCGCGGGGCCTCGCCGGAGCCGGAGCCGCGGAGGGCGCACCCTGCCCGCGGAGGGGTCCCGGCCAGCCTCGCGCGCCCCCCGCCGCCGCCCGCGCGCCCCCAGTGCCTCCAAGGTCCGTCGCCCAGTACCGAGGCTTCCAATTCGCGTCTCGCCTCCGTAGCAACAGGCGCCGGGAGCCGGGAGGCGAGTGTGGGGGCGGCTCCTGTGTTCTAGGTAAGAGCGCTTCGGGCTTCCTTTGTTGCGCTTTGGAAGGTGACGCCGACTGCGGGAAAGGGAGCGAACAAGGGGGTCTGCGCGCCCCGGGGGTGTCTGCGGTGTTTCCGGGCGGCCTCCCAGGCTGGGAGACCCGGGCCCGCCCCGCCGGTCTCTGTCCGAGGTGCTGACGGGGCTCCGCGGGCTCCGAGAGCCGGAGGCCGAGCCTAGGCGGGCCTCGGGGGAGCCGCTCTGCCCGGAGAGGCGCGGGCTGCTGACCCAGGGTTGCTCGGGTCTTCGGTGCGTGCAGACTCGATTCGATCCTCTGAGCTGCGGAAAGCGGAGGTCGGTACCCCCAGGTGCGGAGCGGGCTTTTGCCAGGAATGCTTTAGGAGGTCAGGGAATCAGGAGAAGGATGACCCTCTCATCTGTTAATTCGGCTGAAATGCCGTGGGATTTGAGAACTGGTTTAGTTTTCTGCTGAGAGACACTCTAGAAGGAGCATTGGTAAACAGTATTATTTTGGAAGAAATCGTTTGGCAACTTTTTGTCGGACATGCAACATTGAGAATACAGTGAGACACCGTATCAGATCCACTCGGTGGCTTCTCAACTCTGGTGTACGTCGGAATCACGTGGGCAAACTTGCTTTAAATGCGTGCTCGCTAGTTCCTCTACGGGATGCTGATCAAGCTAGGCTGGAGTCTTGGGGTCTCTGCATTTAAAACTACTTCTGCAAATATTTTGAAGCAGGTCTTTTGTGGACAACATTTTGAGAAACTTTGCAGTAAGTCACAGAATTACGAACATTTACAAATAAAATGAAACTGTTTTTTAAAATAGACATTAGTGAGATAATTTTAAAATGCCTACCACTCTTAATCTAAAGCTTTTAAATTTATAATACGTATTTTAAGATGTACCTGTTTTCAAAGTATATCACTTAGGACATTTGTAAGTCAAATATTATAACAGTTAACAGTGTTAGCAAGAAGGAATGTGACTGCACAAATTACCTTACAATAAAAATTAACATTATGTATATTTTACTTTTTATGTAATACTATAAAAATAGTTTTACTCAAAATGTTTGTTTTATGGTTTTGAGGAAACAGGTTAATGCATTTAAGATCCACACGCTGTAATCTGTGATTTTCTCAGTTGGGGACTTCACATTCTCTAGAGAAGACAGTTAAGTACAGAAGTTAATTGACTGTTTAGTGGTTTATGATGTTGGAGGATGGCAAGCAGGAGAGAAACGTATTGATTTGGCCCTTTGAGAACGCAATACGATGGTGAGATGATTCCAGGAGGGAGGAGAGTCTGTTGTTGCACACCATCACATATTTGTTGGAGTTGTTTTTTTAAACTTGGTTTCCAGTTGTTCTGGCATCATGCTGATAGTTGGTATGTTTAAAAACTTCATCAATATTTGCCTAATTCGTGAATTGAAGTGTCTCAATTTTCTCTGAACCCAGTAACAGAAAGACAAACTGAAGATGAAGGCCGTTGTATTAATCAGTCTCTAAGTGCATATTACATAGCCAATAGCTATGCACAGCATACCACAATATACTTGTATGCCTTTTTTGCATTCTTATGATAGTAATTTTTCTTGCTCTGTAAACACACACTAATTATAAACAAATATTAAAGATGAGTAGGATTAGAGACCAAAGGAAGGCTATTAGGCAGATGTGAATGTCAGCCATTTAAAATAGCTTCCTCTCACAAGGAGATTGATCACATCGTGTTCTAGAAAATTCTGATTTTCCTTAAAATATTTGTGGATGGTAATAGCTATGATATTTCACAGGTTACTAAAGGAACCTCAAATGGAGCAATGGTTAAATATCATTTAGGGACTCACATTTTAGAGTTAATGAACAGAAAATATACGAGCATAGGATTAGAGCTGCCAGTCAGTCACGTTGCTCAAAAACAGTAAAATCTATTCATGAGCTTTATTAATCACCTTGCTGGTCACACAAAACTAAGTGTGGTAAGTTATGAAACTAGAGAAGTGGTCTCATTTTAAGCGTGTTGTAAACTCTTAGAGCAGATATGACAACAGGTGATTAATAAGGCTGAATAGATTTTACTGTTTTCAAGCAACGTGACCGAGTGACACCTCTAATCCTATGCTCGTATATTCTCTGTTCCTTCCATCCAAAATATAGCAACAGGTAGGATGTGGCATGTTCCATTAGAGAAACAAATGATAGACGTAGACAGAAGAGGGAGGGAGGAGGAGCGATGGGAGAAGCTAGCTAGGAAGAGGGTGGAAAGCTTCATGAAGGAAATTATATTTAAATTGTGTGAGGGGTGTGAATAGAATTCTGACTGGCGTGCTTGAAGGACCATATTCTGGGTTAGGAAAGAAAATGGCAGAGTTACGAATGGGTAGATGAACAGGATGAGATTTACAAGGGGAGATTTGAGAGAAGAAGTTGGAAAAGCAGGACAAACCCCTGGGCACCTAGGACCTTTTGCAGGAGGCCAAGGACTTCAGGTGATAATTTCAGGAAATAAGGAGCCTGTAAATGGTCAAGGTTTTAAAGCAGGTAGTTGACATGATTTGAGATGTGGCATAAGATGAATATTTTGGCCAAAATGTTAATTTAGTTAAAGGATTTAGGATGGTGAGGTAGAACGAATGAGGGATAAATGATCTTCGAAGATTCTTGAAATTTCCCCATCAGGTTTTGATCAACATATTCTTGAAAACCCGTATTTAGTGAAATAAGTACAACTTCACCAATGTTCAAAAGAAGGACTTTGAAAAACATGTGTATCTCAACACGGGGAGAGACGTGTGTGCATTTGCTCGTGAGTTTTTTGAGGGTGATTGCAGAGAATAGCAACAGACACTAGGCAAGAGGGATGCTGTTGTTGCCTTTTGCTTTCTACAGTCACCGACTCCGGTCCTTATCTCCTGGTAGCCCGTGTCGACCACGCCTCTGCGAAACGTCTCTGACCGCAAATAAACATACACAGATCTCATCATTCATTCTGGTGTTTTGCGGAAACAATCTGGGAAGGAGATGTGAATGTTTGAATATTTAGCATTGGTTTTACCGTAGCTTGCTTCGTGGACAGTGGAGTTCTACATTGTATTGTTTTCTAAATCTTTTCATGTTTCCTTTCATACACTCTTTCTTTTTTGTTTTTTTCTTCCTTTTTTTTTTTTTGAGACAGAGTTTCGCTCTCATTACCCAGGCTGGAGTGCAATGGCGCGATCTCAGCTCACCGCAACCTCCGCCTCCTGGGTTCAGGCAATTCTCCTGCCTCAGCCTCCTGAGTAGCTGGGACTACAGGCACACGCCACCATGCCCAGCTAATTTTTTGTATTTTTAGTAGAGACGGGGTTTCACCATGTTGACCAGGATGGTCTCGATCTCTTGACGTCGTGATCCACCCGCCTCGGCCTCCCAAAGTGGGAGGCTTGAGCCCGCGCGCCCGGCCTACATGTACTTACTTTTTACCTTATTAACTGTCTGGTGTTAGGGACGTAAAACTGGATTCCGACTCCAGTGATGATGATGATGATTTCTGTGATTTAACTCGCACTTCGTCATCACTTCAGGCTTAATCTATTAAAATTAACTCCACCCTAAGGAAAGTGTAACTACATGACTTTTTTTTTTCATTTCATGCATATAAATAATCAATTATTGTTCTTTTTTTAAAAAAATCAGAGTTCCCTTTGGGTAACATATAAATGTGTGTTTTTAGTTATCATGAGACATATTCATCCATTATGCTAGCTGTTTTGTGTTCATTCCTCACTTGTTGCATTTTCTTATCATAAAATCACTTTTTTAACGTCTCGGTGTGAAATAAGTGTGGTGCACATGAACATAATTTTAGCACGTTTCAAGAAGCCGCTTTGGAGCTGTATCACTACTAAACGGATACAGTCTTAGCCAGGTACAAAATCACCCTCACACACACAGAATTTGCACTATTATTTTACTTTTTTCTTTCTCCTTTTTAGAAGGGGGCAAAGAGGAGAGGAGGAATCAGGCTAGAGTGAGCTAGGATTAGAGGTTTGGAAAACGCAGCTTTCAAACATCTTTGACCAAATTCCTATCAGTCAGTCCTCCTTCTCCCCATTTCAGCGTCTAGAGGCTGCTTTGCCATCGGTGAGTGCTGAATGAGCACACCGCCTGTCCGGTCCCTGGCTGCGTTCTCAGGCAGGAGGAGCTGAACCCCAGGGGTCCAGGTAGTATGTTCAAGAAGAACTTTATAGCATTGAGAGCTGTGGGTTCTGTTGAGTCCCTGGGAACCTCTAGCCTCAGGCAAGTCACTTAATCCTCAGGAGTTCAGTTGGAGGTTTCCAGATGCCCACTGTGTGCAGAAACAGTTGATACCAAAGTGATACCATGAGGGGCTGAGCTCTGCAGAGAAAATGTGAGTGAGGGCACCTGTCCTCACATGTTAGCGGGCTGTCCTTTACTGATTGCTTCTGGAGAGGCCAGGGCCATATTCAGAGTTTGCATATGAATTGCTCTTAGCAGTTTAAAGGTAGGAAATGCGCTAATGTTCTTATTATAAGGCATGCTGGGGGATGACTCGGCAGAAAGGAAGACTGTTTTCCTGACCCAGTTGGGGCTGGAAAACTGCTTGCATGGAAGGCACTTCAGGGGTAAGGCCCAGGGTGTGT